CTTATTCATTATATTGTGAAGTAGTTTTCAGGTATATATGGTCCATAGTTTCTTCGAATTTGAATTTTATTGTGACTCTCATTTGAGAGCTATTTTAAAGAACAACCTCAAACTCGTTTGAAATGTGCAAAATACTCCCTGAGTGTAATCAAAAGTGAGCTAAATTACTGATAACACCAGTGCATTCAGTTGCTAAAAGCCAATACCCATAACTTTGCGACTTTCATTCAATATCATTCCACGAAATCCTCAGTGAATATCATTTCAAATGGTATTTATGCTGTGTGTTTATTATTTCATTATTTATTTTATTCCTGTACGTTTCCAGTGGAATATTGGGCTTCCATCTAGAGGCTTGAAGTTTCGGTAGCAGTGGTGTTTGTCTTTACAGGATGGGATTGCTAGCCTCTTGCCCAACCTTCCCTCTTAACCAGTCTTATTACTGCTTAGCGAGGTATGGGAGTGCGTCAGCCAGGGATTGAACCTCGAACCACATGAGGCGTAGTCAGCGAGCATTCTACCGGTGTGCCACCGACGCAGTTTATGCTGCATGTAAACAATTCATCTCATGGCTAATCACGTGTCTACAAATGAATTAACTAGTATATGGTTATGCATTAAAACTTTGTAGAATACAAGGTAAACACCATAAAACTATAGTATCTCAGCTGGAGAATGCATATAGGTGAAGTGTTGAGAACACGGAAAAAATGTGCAGTTTTAATCATACAAGTGGTGGGAGAAAATAAGTAAAATGCAAGGTAAAAATAGCCACTTTCCTCAGTCATTATCCCATTTTACCAAATCACCCACTTATTCCTCTTTTCCTTATTTTCGCATAAAACTAACTCATCACTTGAACCCATTTTCCTCAAGTTTTCAAAAAACAAATTACTGACTTTCTTCCAAGTTCCCCATGTGAGTAAAAATATTACCCATTTTTCTCCTCATAACCCTAGTCACTTCTAGAAATACCACTCATTACCCAATTTTGCCCGGAATACTGAATGGGGTATTCATTAAAGATGCACACATAATTCATCCAACAAATACTTAGTCAGGTACGCTTTCGAAAAGCCGATACATTTTCCATATTTAGTGACATCTAGGAGTAACGCAACACTATCTTTTTTATGTATTTATTTTCTTCTTCTTCAAATAAAAGCAGGATGAACGGAACCATCTTCATGAGCAGTCAGAATTGAATTATGTAACAATTTAAGACGTTTCTACAAAAATATGAGTCCCAACCATTTGTGATGCATTTAAACAAAGCTATCTTTTTCATAACGTAGTGAAGTGAACCAAATTTCAAACCTTCTCTTATTTATGCCTACCTAATCTTACTCGTGATTTCTTGTCTAAATTGATGTAACTGAAGAGTTAGAAATAAGACGAGCTACATGTGCTATGTGCATCAGTGGTCTAGTGGTAGAAAACTTGCCAGCCACATACGTGGTACGTCTGGGGTTAAATCCCCAGCCAAAGCACTTCTAGACCATGCTTACCCGACATTAAGACCTGTTAAGAGGGAAGGTTAGGCGCGAGGCTATAAACCCTGCCCCGCATAAACCGAACAAGACTGCTACTGAAACTTCATATCTCGAAGCTTGAAGCCCTATGTTCCCCTCGGGACGCAAAGGAAACTTATAGCTCCTATACTGAACCGCTAATCTGAATGATATAAATTATGCAGCATTTACAGTCAACAGTTAGACTATAAGCAAGAGAGGATCAGTCTTCTTAATGTCTGTCTGTTTTCAATATAGAACTTTGCACCGATGTGCAGCAGTTCAAGTAGACACACTCCATGTAGCACACAAAGCAAGAGAAGATTGTAGAAGAAATGCATAATAGAGACAGTAGACAGGGATATGAGACAAAAGGAATAGTTGTAACGAAGAACAATATAGTTTCATTGGAAATTATAAGTCAGAAGGAGTGGATGCATCTGCACCAGCCATTGAGAGCGATTTTGAGCCATCTCACCGATTGTCTCCAGCCATTGGCGTTCTCCATCCCAAGGACCTCAACCAGGAAGTCTACATCTTCCTAAGTGGCTGGCTTAAAGTAACTGTTTTGGATTTCATTGACTGGTGCCATGTTTTGGTTTGACCGTCGCTAGCTCTTTTCCAGCCTGACCCTATGTCAGCTAACATTGCCTGTCGAGAAAGGCGATGACTAAACATAAGTAACACATGTCCTAACCATCTCAGTAGATGTAGCTTCACAGTCTCGTCGATTGATTTCTTCTCGGACCTAACTAGCATTCGACGCCTAACCTTAACATTTGCTACCTTATTATCCCATTTCACACGGGAGATAGAACGCAGGCACCTATGATCAAAGGCGGCTAATCTTTTCATGTCTTCCAATCTTAATGGCCAGGTCTCACAGTCATAAAGGAGGACAGAGCGGACTGCTGAGCAGTATACACATCCTTTGGTTGACAGCCGAATATTACGTCCACACCAGAGACGGCGTAAACTGGCATATGTAAAACTAGCCCTCTGTATCCGTACTGAGATTTCGTCAGTGATCAACCCACTGGCACTGGTTGATGCAACCCATCAAATAAGTGAAGCAATCAACGTGCTGTATCAATTCACTCCCTATTTCTAAGCTAGGAGTCAGTGTAGTCCAGACCGGTCGTATAGCATCATCTTACATTCGGCGGCAGCGAATCGCATGCTAAACATTCGCAGATTGCAGCTTAAGGCGTTCAGAAGACTCTCCATTTTTTTCAGCGACTTCACTTAGAAGGACTATATCATCTGCATTTTCTAAGTCAACGAGATTATTCCCTGGTGGTAACAAGTCAATCCATGAGTCTCTGAAGTGAGTTAGAGTTAAGTCCATTAGAACATTTATGATGAAATTGAATAATCTTAATGTGTCTTTATCAATTGGCAATGAGGCAATTAGAACCGAAGTGCATTCATATCATGACATGTGATAAAATGATTTACAACTTGACATTACTAGGATACATTCATATCTGTCAACTCAGAGCTATCTAAGATAGTATCGCCACTAGTTAACGACTAACTCCTCTCCCTATAATTTAGCATGATTAAGACTGATAAGAGAAAACGTAGCCTAGAGACCCATTTTATAAAAGACGGATGGTAACGCATCACTCAAACTTAGTGATGATTGCACTGAAAACATAACCTGGTCTTCATCTGGGTCACCGGTTCTACTGCTGTCTTGCCACAGCTCTTCATCGTATCCATTAAATATTCACATACTGAGGAGTGATGAGAGGATTTATCATACGGTGAGAAAACCTCAAATAACACTAAAGCCGAAATGTAAATGATGCACTGAAATAACAGAGCTGTTTTCATGCCACTTTGTATTTAACGTACATCGATTTACTGGGTTCAGTAAAAGTGAACAGTATTGAATTTCGCTGCATAGATTGTTTGATGATAAGATTGATTTTTAAAGACATTTCTGTTTGTCTTCAAGGTGACTGGCGGTTGTCGTCGTTCTGATTTTAGTCGTAATTTTTCAAAGTATTACAAAAAATGACAATGTTTATTACCATCAACCCTTTTTTCCTCTCTGATAAACTGCTTTTTAACTGGAAAGTGCAAGGCTTTTCGGTCTCTTCTTCCGAGTTGACAGGCAATTCATCAACTTTACAACTATCTTTGATATTCAACTTGGAAGTAAAAAAAATACAGAGAAAATCTTAAGGTTTGGGGAATATTGATTCCTTTTTCACAGTATTCATTAAAACCTAGTTTACTTCTTCGGTGGTAAAAAAGGTTTCATTGTTACAAATAAATGAAATCTGTTTAGAGGGAGTGCAAAATGAGTCCAGTAGTTGTATTTCTTTTTATACTGGGGACAGAATTGGATCTTTTCTAATAAAAGTTTCCGTGAGGAAATGTATGTCTTTTAAGATGGTGTTTTCAGTAACCTTTTCCCAAACCACATGAGCACAGTGTCATGAAAAGTTGTGATGCAGCTTTGAAGACGCTTTAATCAAGAGATTTATATTTTTGTCGACATATACTGCCAAGCCTTTCATCAATAGGACTGTTAAAACCTCATCATACAGTGAAGTTACTTCACAGTTGTATCGGACAACTTATTTTTGTCTTCCATAAAACTGAATTTTTGAAGCTACCGGGTCACGATGACAGTTTTCCAACGATGAACTGTCACTAATCTTCTATCAAAATACCCACCACGTAACCTGGAAACCGCAGATTTAATCCAAGGTTGTATCGTGAGTGAATATGACTGAAAAGTCGGGAACTGGGATGAATCAGTTGACCAAAGCTTACTGGTTTCCCATGATTCTCTAGGTGATACGGACTTTTTTTATAGAACCTACCCTGAAGAGTAATCATGTTGAGTGATAATTATAAATCCAAAGGAACGGAGTGGCCAGACGTCTGATACTTGACTATAAAGTTCTGATAATGATATAAGGTACAAGTTCCTCAAAAGCAACCATATTACTATTCCATAGGATTTTGAGTGGAACATAGAGCTTGAACAGCACATCTGCATTTAATCCTATTCTGTCTTTTTCATCATTTTGCTGACTCTACAATCTCCAGTAAGCTCTCATCTCTTTCTCACGCCATCTCCTCTATATAACTCTCCAAACCATACCCAACACGTCATTTCCCACTGAGGTTCCACTCGAGCACCTGTTCGCCATGTGTTATCTCACAATAGTTCCATCTACTGTCATTCTCTTCGGCAAAGTTAATGGGAAATAAGTTATTTGTTGACTAGCTGCACTGCTAGAATCTCCTGTTGCATATCTTTTTCAATCGGCTGTCTAATCTTCAGAATGCAGCTAAGACAGATGCAGATGAAATACTTCCGGTGATGCGCTAAGTCTCCGAACCATATAGATGCACTGAAATGACACTAATGTTGAGAAACGGAATCTTGTTCTTTATACTGAGTACAACAGATTTTGGAAATACTTATATTTAATGTATTTTCTTTTCTTGCTTTAACCATTTCAGATGCAAATTTTGTACTTGGAAATGCCCAGAGGAAGTATTATCCAATTGTTTATTGCTCAGATGGATTTTTACTGCTAACGCATTATTCACGAGCAAGTGTAATGTCAAGGAGTAGTGTATGCCAATTTCTTTGGGGACCAGAGACTACACCGACAGTTCGTATGGAAATTAATCAAGCATTTCATAATCATTTTGAGTATAGAAATCGGGTAGTCTTTTATACACGTATTGGTAAGTGAAATTTTAATCGCCATTATTATTATTATTACATCAGTGATTAAACTCCGTGGAATATATTGTTTTATAATGGAGTTTAAGTACTTTATAAACTTTATATAATGACTGGGTAGTACATTTAGATTTAGAGTTTATCCCTAAGGTGTGTGCTGGTTATTTTAGACTTTTAGGTACAATACATAGTCATATTTCAAAAAAGAGTTCCCAATAAATTAGGAATCATCATTTCACTGTGTCCAATTTATTGACTGATTTCATTGGTTGTCTACTCACCATGAATTGTGACTATTAGTGACTGTTACATTTCCTATAGTTAACCATGCTTTCAGATAGCAACGCATCAGCAGGATTAGAGAACTTACCGAACACAAAACATACCATGTGAAGTAAATGTACCGGAAAAAGTTCTCAGCATTCAGTTTCTCAAGTAGAAATTCGAGTACATTACACAAAGAAACATAGCACCTAAATGTATGGTCATATCAAAGGCGTATTTTCTCCAAAGTGATGACCTAAAGAAGAAGAAAGTAGCGCTAGATTTTACTGATGGTACACGTACATTTATCTGTCAGAAAACATTTGAAAAAGATCTTTATGTTGTGATAGTTTGTGCTGCTAATGGATATCGGTATTTGGAAACCACTCAAGTCAACTAATCAGCCTAAGTAGCTAGCGAGAATTTCGAATGATTCGAACTGGTTCGAATTTCTCTGCCGAGCTAGTCTCAGTATTCAGCAGGTAAGCTCAACTAAAAGCGAGTGAAACAGCTATTCGGTGATTAGACCAACTCAATCTCGCTAGGAAGCGCCATTTGTTGATATGAATGACTTCTAGTCACTCATATCTATCAGTAGTATACTCAACATTGCTGCTTTTACATGCTTCCTTAACTTCCATCTCATCCTATCAAGCAGATCAAAACTTGTGACGTGAACAGTTTTGGTTACAAAAGAAAACTGTGGTGAATTCCCACCTGGAACCACATGACTTGCAGACGGGGTACTTAATCCTTGTGTAATAACCATTTTACGGGTGACTAGAGGTTCGAGTATTTTAAAAGAGTACATCTTCGCCTATATATATATATATAAAGCCTGAAACTAACGGAAACAGTTTTCATCAAATAATTTATAGCAAATTGGTACTGACATTAAGCATATCCAACTGTTTTATACTTTAGTTTACATAATATAACATTTTGAAATTCTTAACAGTTTCCATAGAAGTTTATCATCAGTTTCAGTTTCTTTTTGTCATAAATTGATTCCAACGAATTTGAGTGATCTTACTTAAGCAGTTTTCTTAAAACTACTAGTTATAATTCACCTTAAACAGCGGTTGACTAGATTTTCAGCGATTTTAGCATATTTACTTGCTTAAACGTGATAGATTCAGGTAGCTCTTTCATTCTGAAAAGAATACACAAAGATAAGCTCGAAAATACTTTAGGTTTAGAATTGTTTTAAGATGCCCACTATCAACTTGAAAAAATAGATTGATGGACAAAGAATATTCTTTCCGATAACTTCGTTATCAGGTTGTACAGTTAGAGAAATATCGTTACCGATAATAGAAAAAGATTTTTCCAAACTGGCTTCATAGCTTGTTTAGACCAGGTGATCAAATACTGAATTCCTAACGTCTTTTACTACACATTTATTTAGACATACTGGTAGACATTCCTGGCCGTGAAAAAGCTAAGTTCCTAGAGAAGCAGCTAATATAAATCAATCCAAAGGAACAGCTGAATTGATAGGTACGAGAAGTGGCTAACCTTGGTGGATAACATGAACTTCAAATGTTCGTTTGTAGGGATTTGATTGGTTACAGGATTTCATCACGAGTCGTGACCAGTAGGGTGCAGCAGGTTGGGTATGAGGACAAATACTCGCCAAAAACATTGGATAGGGGTCGCACTATGTCGTGAATTGACAGAAGTTAGAATTCAAGTACCATTGGATCGAGTCCCAGTGGCTTAATGGTATAAGAGCTCACCTCGTAACCAGAAGTTCCTGGGTTCGAAACCCGGGTGGGTGCGTACTGATGAAGAGTCTCAAACTAGGACGAAACAGCTGTCCAGTACTCTCAGGTTTTCCAGTGGTTCTCTAACTAATGTCACCTGATGATGAAATCCTGTAACATGAACTTCAGCTTACATGCATTAAAACTCCTTCGAATCGATTTTCTTAACTAATAGCTAATACTTCAGCTGGTACTTCGCCTTTACACTGCAGCTGCACATATAGTGGTTTCTTGCTTGAAGATGCATAACATTTCTTTTCTACTTCTTTGGCCATATGTTTTGTTACAAAATTTCTGAATAACTATTGTAAATTAAGGTGTCATGTACAGCTTTTAAATCGTCTCCGTTAGCATCTTCTGAAATATTCAGCTTTGGCCATGTAGCTGAATGTTTATGTAACTTTAGGACCTAATGATGAAGTTGTCAGAAAGAATACTTCTTTCACTAATCAGTCTTTTGTGACATGGAATTGTTTTTCAGAAATTATCAGGTAAGCGCCTTTATGTTCGGACTCTTGATCTTCTATACTGCGAATACTTTATCACACAATTTACTGCAGGGCACAAAAATAACTCTAACAACATTCATTTCTTTGGCTTACTATCTACTCAAGTCTCATCTTTTTTTATATTAATTTTTTCCTTTGAAAGGAACACAAATAATTGATTGAGATTTAAGAACTAAAGGTAGGCAATCATTTTTATTCACCTGTCTGTAAACATTCTCCTCCAAGTCAGTAGGATGATAGAAAACTTCTAAACCAAAGAAGTTCTCATAAGAATCTATTATATTGGCAGGCATATATTCGCTTTTACCTTTGACAAGAGCTTTCGCTTTATCTCTGTATTAAATTTAGCATTATGTATCAAAATAGATTATTGTTTTTCTAAAAATTTCCATACATCAAGGCACAACAGTATAAACAAACAGGATATAAACACTTGACTATTTTGACAATATAAACTGACTGGTTTCCTTGGAATGTTTACGCACTGTAATACTCGTTTAGGATAGATGTCAATGCGTGAAGAATTTATTTTTTACCTTGTGCTGTTATGTTATTATTATTATTATTATTCAAGTGTTGGTTATTATTATTGTTCCCGTGGGTTCCTAGTGGAACATAGGGATTCACAACTGCACGTCTCCAATTGCTTCTGTCTTCTGCTGTACTTTTCACCTGCATCCATGTTAGTCCATACTGTTTCAACTCCTCTTCACACGATCTCCTCCATGTCACCCTTGGACGTCCTACTCGCCGCTTCCCTTTCGATTTCCACTCAACGGCCTGACGCGCGATGTCACCCAACGGCCTCCTCAGCGAGTGTCCAATCCATCTCCACTTTCTCCTGCATATTTGTAGGACGATTGGTTCTTGTTTTGTTTGTTCCCATAGTTTCTTGTTGGTGATTCTTTCCGGCGGCCATCTCATCTTCAGTATAGAGCCAGCGAAGACAGTTGTTGATAAAGGTCTGCAACAGGCTGTTGGAAATATTCTTTGTGACACACTGGCCAAGTTTCTGATCCGTATAGAAGAACTGACTTGACGTTTGTATTGAAAAGCCGAATTTTGTTGTTGATGCTGAGTGACGAAGATTTCCAGACTGTTTTTTTAGTTGATGAATTTGTTTCTCACCTTCCCGATTCTCGATTTGACATCCTCGTCCGTTCCTCGTGTAGTTGAGACAATGCTCCCTAGATAAGTGAAAGAAGTAACCTCTTTCAAATCCCTCCCGTTGATGGTGATTGGCGCTGGATGTTGCTGCTGTTGTTGTTGTTGTCGGTTGGTTGGTTATTTTCATAACCTCCGTCTTGTCTATGTTCACCTGGAGTCCTGTCTTTGCTGCTTCTTCGACCAGTTTGTCGGTCTTCGCTTGTAAGTCTTCGATTTTGTGTGATATCAAACATAAATCATCCACGCGCGAAATCCAGGTCTTCTAGGTTCTTCACGTCGGTCCAGGATATCCCTGTCTTCTCGTTTCCCATTGTCTGATGCATAATCCAGTCCACCACGATTAGAAATATCATTGGTGATAATAAGCACCCTTGTCTGACTCCTGTGTTTACTCCAAAAGCCTCGCTGAGTTTTCCGTTGTGGATCACTTGACATGTGCCGTTGTCGTACGGCTGTTGAATAAGGTTGATGAATATTTGGGGTACGCCGTAGTACTTGAGTAGTTTCCAAATTACTTCGCTGTCAACGCTGTCGAAGGCCTTCTCAAAGTCTATAAAGTTGAGGTAGAGGTTTGATTGCTTTGTTCCATGATGATGCGTAGAGTTGCAATTTGGTCAGAACATGATTTGCCGCTGTTATGTTATGTTCCACTTTATTAAAAGAAAACGCGTTATACTTATTTATTTTGAAAAGTCCTCCCTTGGAGCGTTAGAATTTTGTGATAGCAGGTAATGAATATCCCTATGTTTCATACAGTTATAAGCAAGTTCTAACTATTTTTAGTGGCACTTTATCAAACAAAAGTCACTTTGTATTAGTTAGGTAGGGTTATTTGATAATTTTTTGTGTGATTATTTTAGATTTAACATTAAATATGCTCTTTCTTTGAGAAGAGCTGTAAACTTAAATGACTGTATATCAAGTTTTTGTGAGAAACACTTTGTTAATGACTCGTTCTCTTCAAACCGAATGAGTAGACTTAATGGGTTATAGGTTTTATCTTATTATTGTACTTTTTTAAGAGATTTTTTCACTAACCTAACAAATTTACACATTTATTTGGTATAATAAGTCCTTTTTTAAGATTTTTTTTTTCAAAGACAAAGCAGTTAACAAAGAAACGGATTGAACTCATTCACCTCTGCAGGCTTTGTTTTCATCTCTTTACAAGTTCTTTCTTTTGAATTACTGGAAATGATTTTACAGGTATTTTAGTGATACAATTGACAAGCAAATTAAAAGCCTTCGTGTAATGCTCCTAAATAATGCATATCCTGGAGATTTAACTGAAAGAAA